GAATGTTAGAGAATGCACTTTAGGCAATCTATTTCTACTCATACAGATTACAAGCAAATTAATATCTACGCCGATTCAACCGAGAGGTGGGTAAAGCGTTAAAATGCACATGAAGCAGAAAGTCCTTTCCACTGAATTAGACAAAAGAAATCCAACAGGCGGCTATCATCTCTCTGCCTTTTAATGGAGCTTTGCAAAAAGGCTTTCTCCTCCACTTCATACAAAGCTCCTCCAGTTTCCCAGACACCAACTGGCTGACGTATCACACTTGATTTGAACCAGAGCAGGGGAAATCAGAGTGCATTAACACTGCATGTAGAAGGCACTAACTGAATGATCCTAGCATTATGCGGCCTCTGGCCTGGCCTATCTGCGTAGTTTGATGCATAATTTGAACATTAATGTAATTTACATTTTAACACAGTCCCAAAAGTAAACTGATTAGTTGATAGTTATCTACTAATGTGCCAAGAGGACCCACATGTCACTTGCATGCAGGCAGAGGGACGGGATTACACATGACAAGGTTGGCCTTGCAGAAACACAGACAAAGAGACGACGCCTGCCAGAAGGATAGACACCAGAGAGAGGTATCACACAGAAATGCACTCAGACAAACACAAAAGTCTAACACAAAATCTTGTGGGGTAAATGGTTGTTGCTCAGGTTTGCTAGTGTAGCATTTATGTCTAGCTGCATCGATATTTCTTCTTTATTTTCAAGGACTTTTAAACAGATCATACCAATAAGAAGGGAGAACGTAACAGTAAATTTGGGGTATACAGCATTAAGTTCTCAGTTGGGTTTGCGGTCCTTTGCTCACTTGGTAACGTCTACAAATTTGTTTGTGCATAGTTTCAAGAGAACTTCACTTGCCAGACATCATATTAATCAATCTAAAATTAAAATTAAAAATACGTATTAAAAGTATTTCTGAGCCATCAAATGTCTTTTATCTCTGTCCCGGCAGAGCTCCCTCTTTTCATGGGACAAATTAGTGCCCCTGTAGATGGCAGAAGCGCTTTAAAGAAAGTGCAACAGAGTTGCAGTCCCATGATGCAACGCTCCCAGTGGTTACATCTGCTCCATTCTTTCATCTTTCTCCATTGTTAGGTGGGAGCTGTCACATTAGGAGGAGAAACGTGGCTCCTTCCCACCCCCAAGTACCCCTTTTTTCCCATTCCAGCAGTTGGCAGGGTGGCAGGCCCATACAAAGGAGCGTGCACCAGGAGCACAGAGGGGAGCACCGTTAGAGGAAAAACAGTTTGGGAATTAAGGTCATTAATTTTCCACTTTCAAGGGCTGCCACACAGACGGAGATAAAGTCAGCATAAATATTCCGCCGAAGTTTCTCCTGTTTTTCTCCTCTCCCCATTTTCATCGGCAGCCCATTTATCTCCATGCTGTCAATTAGAGGCAAAAGCAAAGAACTAATTAGGAACTGTGCAATTTTAATTAGCTGTTTTGATAATTAAACTAATTGGTTCCCTTGTGTTTCTGCAATGTGTGCTGAGAACTTTTTTGATATCTGGGCAGCAGATTTCCCATCCGCTGGTTAATTAGTCACTTTTGCATTAAAAAGGAGCCTTCCTTAATAGCCTTAATTTGCAGTTGAAAAGAGAATCTACCATCAATAATTTGTGTAATTGGTAACCGTTTGATTGTAATTTAGAGGCACGGCCGGACAGCTCGGCATGTCTAATTCCTAATGACTAGGATTAAAGTTGGATTAACTGTTTGGGAAAGGGATTCACTCTCCCCTCTTCCCTACCCACCAAATGACACCTTGTCTACATTTGATTGGTCATGAAATTCAAATTGACTAGGTGAACAGCGGGGCTTAAAACATTCCTATTACTTTCTATATGGTGAGCCTGTCAGGTTACATCAAAAAGATTCCAATAATTCCTATTTTCCACCCACCGTCTCAGAAGCTCCACGAGGAAGAGAATAAGAAGTGGTTACAATTTATTATGTGATGTGTTAAACCTCTGCTATCAAACCCATTTGTGTACAACTCTGAGAGGAACACATAGCCACGATCAGCCACTAGGAGGAGCAGAGCCTTAAATCTCAGAGAAACAAACCAAAGTAGGTCTCCCTGTTCAATGAAACTTCATTCAAGCTTTTCTATCTGGATATAAAATTGCATATTAAAAAAAGGGTACATCCACAAACAGTATCTGACTGTCTGCCTATAGGTTACATGCCTAAAATCAATGCAAACATGAAATTACTGTAAATTATTTTGTACAATTTCTTACCAAACTGGTTGTTTGCTACAGTAAAAGAAATACCAGGGGAAATCACACTGATATTTACAGGTGGCCGCTTAATGCTAGAATGCATTTGAATATTGCTAGAAGTGGGGAAACCTGGACTAAAAGCATATCATTCAGCATCTTAACTATCAGGCACCATCTCTATACTTTTACAACATCGAGCCCCGTCAGTAGTCTGATTAAAAAGCACCATTCATCCCACTTAGCCGGAATACAATTAAGGGACATGGCTTTAAAAGCCCAGCCCTGAAGCCTCTCCCCATCCCACATGAAAGGAGCACTCTCCACTGAGCCTTGCCTGTAAATATCATGTTTGATATGAGGTTTTAATCTGCTTAGCCATTCTGAACTATAGAATGGGCTCATCCTCTCTGTGAAACCCCTGTCCAATGGCTGTGTGCCTGAGGACGAATAGGAACACAACACTAGTGCGTTATCTGATTAGGTGGGGTTAATTACAGAGCACTGTTTTGTAGTGGCTGCATTTGAGGGCCGCCCATAAATAGATGGGCATGGCTAATGCACGCTCAGAAATGAATTTTAATTAACTGTGTATCAGAGAAGCCCACTCAGGGGCTTGTTTCTAGTATGTACTGACCCTGCTGTTGGATGTGGAGTGGGAAAGGGTCTGCACCCAAGACACTGTGAGAGGGGCTGAAGAGTACACCGTGGCCTACATGAGCCACGTATCACAGACATACAAAATGTTGTGTCTTTGTGGGTCATTTATATTGATGAGAACTACCTTGATTGAGAGCCGCTGTGCAACCTATCCATGTCTTCACATCATGATGATAGGTAAAACAGGAGTTGGACTGATGGTCTCTGCAGCTACTGCACCTGAGGATAAAATACCAGTGACACTTTAATA